TAATCTGTGACAACGTTTTACATAATAATAATAATAAATAGTAAAATTATTAATCTGTGACAACTTTATTGCAGCCTTACACTTCAGGGATTGTCCCTGGGGTGCAGGTGGGGGCTTCCTAAAATTCGCCCCATCTTTCAATTTCGATGATTAACATAAATGGTAAGCATTAGTAATTTACAATCACATCTTATTATTGAATTATATGGAGATCATTACCTAGTATCTGATGTTGTTTTCTCTATTTTCAGATATTCCCATCCACAAATAAAAGAATGAATAAAAAGACATAGATCAAAGAACATGAAACCATGACTGGAATACAATAATAACAGCTGGAAATATTTTATGCATGGCAGTGTTAACCCAAATACCTTAACTATGGATATACATTGTATCAGTGTTAATTTTATGGCAACATATGGATGGGACTTTCAGTGGAAATATTGTCAAATAGATACATTTACAGTGCAACATCCTCAATTGTGGACTTTACAGTGGATGTATTCTAATGGCAATATATGCATAAAAGTACAATTAATTGTGAACTTATCAGTGAGATATTGTAATGGCAATGTATGTTAAATTACAATGCATTGGACTTCACCGTGGACTTGCTAGTATTGAAAATGTTCTAATGGCAATATGTGGATAAAAGTACAATTGTGGACGAATAAGTGAAAGTGTTCTAATGGCAATGTATGCATAAAATTACAATGTGTTCAACTTAACTGTGGTTCCTACATGTTAATCAGTGGAAATATTCTAGTGGCAGCTGGATACAATTTACGGTGCAACAGCCTCAATTGCAGACATTTCAGCAGTGATATTCTAATGGCAATGTATGGATAAAAATTACAATGTATGGATGAAGCTCCATCACCGTCCTCAGCTATGGACTCAGTGCAAATGTATTGATTATTATATGACAAACAATGACTGAAACACAGTGCAATAGACCAAACTGTGTAAAATATTTCAAATGGCAATTATGCACTATCAAATCGCAACACAATCACCTACTATTAATACTGGACCAATTCAACCTTCAATTAATTATTTTGCAAGGATACATGTACATGGGTCTTATATCAATATTAACTTTTAACTATCAAGATCTTGTGCACAGTTAACATTGTATACATGTAATCAGAAACATATATTATGATATACATTTTGTAATATATAGTGAAATATGACAAGACTTCGAAGAAAACTACTTAAAATAACATTAAATGATTTTTAATTTTTGTTTCATGAGTGTAGTAAGATTATATTTCAATATTTCAATTTTCTTGAAAATCATGTTATTCAATCTTCCATTWTTTTATGATTTAACTTACAGTAATGAACTGCACATTAACAAAATCTCCTAATAAAAGACTTCTGTATGTGAATAGTTATATGACAATGTTTATAATCTCCGAGTTATGTTGCCATTGGCAGCTTGTTCTAAAAGGCGTCACATGCTCTTTAATTGAGCTTCCAATTAGCAAACCTTACGAGTTGAGCTGTCTTGTGGATTGTTGATCTTTCCAAAAGCCGTAACTTCAATTTCAACTTATAATTTCATCGTATACCTTGCCTTGTATGTCACTGAGGACCGCTTTACCCGTTGCTTCCTGTTAAATACACGACAGCGACTTAGATTTGAGACCTAATGAGRGGGACAGTCTCACTGAAAACTAGTATTCCTCAAGTCGAATCGGTAAGAGAGTAGTTTTTAAGGGATTTCCATATATATATATTTTTAGTCCATTATGGATTCACTTTCAAATGATTTTATTTTGATGATAATTTATGTTTTATATCTGTGGAATACCACATGTGACACGCACGGTCATTTATGAGTATTTAAGGTTATTTTTTTCAGTACTTCAGCGTTTTCTCATATTRGAAGGGATATTTAAGTAGATCCGGAAGCTATTTGTCGCCGTTTGTGGTGTTAGACTATAATCACTTGTAATTTGAATCCTTCGGAGCAGGTGTTTAGTCGATTGAGTCGTAATTTCTTGAAGGGGATGCCGATGACTTGCCGAAATAATCCGAAGACATGTTGAAAATATCGATAAGCATTCGTAGAAACCGAATATTTGCCGAAATTAGCCGAAAACGTTTTGGAAATATCGATAAACAATAGTAGTTTCAGTCAACACTTATGTTCCTTTCAGGGATTCATTACCCGAAGATTTGCCGAAATTATCCGAAAACTAGTTAAAAAGTATATCGATAATCTCTCGTGGATTTAGTCAGACAAACGGGTTCGTTGACCGAAGATTTGCTGAAATATTCCGAGGACTTGTCGAAAATGATAAAAGACAATCAAGTCTGTCGAGCAGGTGCACGTGGAGACAATTGAATGCTCTTATGTTAAGGATTAGATTGACGAAGATTTGCAAAGATAATCAACCGTGTGCAGACAATTACCCTGTTTCATTATGACGTCACAGTATGTTTACGTCAGAAAACGATGCTCAAAAACAGTAGAAATTTGGATCATTTATATTGTTAACTAAAGTAGACTTTCAATGAATCGTGTTTTGATATGTGTCATATATCAAAGATTGCTCATGTATATTTTATTTGATATGTAGTCAATCTGATCACCTTTGGGGACCATAATCCTTAGCGTTTAAACGACATGTTTTGATGTAACGAACTAGATTTTACTTTCGAGGATTCGCTTCCTGAAGCGGACTTTCCCGAAGTTGACCGGCGAATTGTCAAAACTTAACCGACATACAATCGTAGTTTCAGTACAACCAACAAGTGATCAGTCACGTTGTTTCACCGAAGATGAATCTGACCGAATGTGAATCGAGTGTAGATCGAATGTGAACCGAGTGTGAACCGAATGTGAATCGAGTGTGAACCGAATGTGAAGCCGATGATCAATTGTCGTTTTCGTCTTAAGAATAGTTCTAATAAATGACTGACGAAATGCTGTATGTTGAAATCGTGTAAAGGAAGAAATGAAGGAAAAGTAAAAAAAAGAAAAAAGGGAAGAAAACACACAAGAAGGAAAGCTATTAACTATCAAGTGTCGAAACAGGGGACTATTTGTGGGCGAGATTTCCCTTTTGAAAGAAGGATGTTCAACTGTTTTTGACCTTTGTTTTTCTCAGTAACCCTTATATAACGGTGATGGCACGTGGATCTACTCTCACATTGAACCGCGATCAATCGTCATTTCCGTCCAACGAATAGTTGTTATAATAGACGATTAAAAGTGCTGAAATACGTTGAGTGCTCAAACAGAGAGAAAACTAACAACAACAACAACAACAACTACGACAAAAAATAAATAAAGGAAATCTAACTATTAGTATCGATAAAGGAGGATAGCCTGTGGACTAGATTTTTATCTGCTGTCGACCTTTGTTCATGTATTAAACCCTTATAGTTCAGAAGGCACGTGCACTAAGAGGAAATAGCACCGGGCAATWGACTGCRTATTCAAGGTGAATTAGCTCACGGATCTATGGCACCTACGACCTGGAAATGAACGGGTTGATTGTAAAGCAAAGCATATACGGTCCTGTAAAAGATCTCCGACAGTTTCTAACTATATGGACCGATAAATTAACCTTTTGCTGTAGTCTTTTAGTACTTTTTTCGCTAGAATAGAAGGAGCCGACGGGTTCCTATGGGAGAAATATATCTGTTCTTGTGTCCCAGCTAGCTGTAAGTCACAACTGGTTGCCAGCGAGAAATTCAGGAAAAAAAGAACTCTCCAGGCAAGGAATGCTTTCTGCCAGGAAAAAAAGAATTTTAACTAATAACAATTTAGAGAAAGTATTTAGAATAAAAACTAACGCAATATAAGCCGTTTTTGACCRTAAAAACGTTATATACGCCTTTTTTGTCCTTGAAAACGTTTGCCAGGAACAAAAATATTTTAAGGAAGGAAGGGCGCCACATTTGCTTGTGAGATTGTCAACAATGTAGCTCAAAATCCCTTTCCCAGGAAAAAAAATTGTACAAGAACAGTTATTTAGAAGAATAGACCCGCCGTCGGCTCCTCCTGAAAATTTGTAAACGTGCAATGGATCACGCTCTGACCAAGACGTGAACATCACATGGTTTTGTTCCGATTCGTAACACACGATTTTATTGGCTAGAAAGTGGGCCATACTTTCCCGTACGGACCAGATGAAACGAGAAAAAAAACGTTTTTTTATCTAAAAAAGGCTCGCTTTCTCTCTTTTTGTAGTTGTACTGCCGGTATAAAAAAAGAGTAAAAAATGAATCCAAATTTTGCCATCAAGGTTTCTCAGGCTTTTCTTTTTTCCTTCTATTTTGAATGACAAGAAAAGTACGAACAAAAACGTATTTTTATGTCCGATTCTCTATTAATTTTACTATTTTTCCCTGAAAATGCTATATGATAAATATCTTATTAACCTCGCTTGCTCGAGCCGTACGGGAAGTTACGGAAACTCGTTTTTTTCCACTTTTTAATAAGTCAGTGGAAAAAAACTCGGTCCATARCGTTCCGTACGGCCCTCGCGCTCGGTTAATAAGATAATATTGTGTRTATGAAAAAKAATKTTTTTGCACAACTGTTTCGCTAGAAACACCGACTTGTTAACCGCTAGTTTCCATCAGAGGATGGATTTTCATTTAGGACGATTTTTGTATGAAGCTGTTATGTAATGCGTTAGTGTCATATTCAATGTTGACAKTCTTTCAAACTAGTGCCATATAATATACACTGCCATTTGTTTACCTGAGTCTAGTGACTAAGTCCATACAAAAGTGTATTGGTTTATAATACTACCAGTCTAAGAATGGCCCGGAAACTCGTCAAATTAGTAATTAGTCATTCAAATGCCAGTAAAAAAATGCAAATTTCTTTAAAAACCCTCTAAATAAGTCTTCGTTRAGATATCGTGTGCACGGAATGACGACTAGCAGTTTTTGTCGGCCAGGAATTCACTTTTGACCGTTCTTGCACGACTAAGTGCTGTTTTCTGCGTGGAATTCATCGATTTATTGGTGCATCGGTCCGGGATAGTGTGAATTCTACTGTGTATTGTACAGTCTGGGTCTGTAGTCTCTAGTTGATTTGCTGAGCTGGCGACGTGGACTATGAGTAATGAAGTTTCGTGCTAAGGTTTGTATAGTTTTTGCCTTTAYATAGTGTTTCAAATATTTTTATGTATAAAAGGTAATATTTTGTTTATCAAATTTTTAATTTGTGAATTTGCGAAAATGAATGGAAACAACAACAAYATGACTTTTAAGTGACTTTGTTCTGCCGCGTTATCGCAATTTTCTAAGGTACTCGACAATGCAATTTATACGGCTAAATATGAACAGTTAAACTTGGGCCTGACAGCTTTCAAAGACTTGAACTTCTTTCGTCTATTTTTATTGAAAGCTCTTCTTGATACTTTGATCACTATAATACATGCACCAAAAAAACTCGAATATTTCCAAAGATGGCTTTTCTCATTGCCGCTTGTTTTATAAATATCCTGAGCTGTCCCAAATCGCCCACATACATACCATAAACTCCTACTGAAGCTTCCTGGACTCATTGCTTGTGGGGATTGGCGACATRGCCAGCGATAACTAGTTATGGCAAGTATTTTATATTCGACCTATTGAATCTTCATAGCGTAGAAAATACGGGAAAACATTGAAGTACCACTGTAAGTTGAATTTGCTTCAGGAGCAGTCATTTAGGATGAAGATTTAGCTGTGTTCTCGTACATGAAATTTTCGTTTTAAATCCCTAAAAGTCTAAATTCATATTCGAGAAATGGGACTGTTTTAACCGTGCAGTCGTTCGACTATAAAACAGATGTAGGATACGTTTATCCTTTGAATCTTAATGTATGAACCTGGACATTGACATCGACATRTTGCAGTGTTTTCGTGCGAACGCTAGCTTTGAACTATCAGCCGCGGAGACTTCTTGATTGCCCAAAAAGTCAAAACTTTGGTGTCAAAAGGTGGTGACACTTTTCAAGGTTACGCATAATCGACATTGCAAAATCGACCTCAAAATACGATAAAAAAAAGTGTCAACGAGGTTTTAAGTACTCAGTTCGGAACAAAATGCACAAGTTCAAGTCAAAGTTGAAAGGAAACAGCCGTTCGTATTTAGATTTTTATGGAAATTAAAAGATCTCATGGAACCTTGAATTTTATTTATTTTTTCATATTTTTTTAAATAGAAAAATCGCCGGTGTAAGAATTACCAAAATTGTTTGGATAATCTGATCGTTATTTCAGTAAATCTAGCTTGATTATAGAACCTTTTAACGAGATCAATCTCCAGTGCGCAATCATATTGTACTCGAGATTTTCCATCCACTTGAAACGGAGTGATTGCCTTGCGCTACAGCAGTTTTGTTTTCATWATGAACTATTTGTTTTTATCTAGTAGAGCAGTAAAACTGTAGTTATATTCTAATTCAAAGAATATTTTCAGCTAAATAAGCAAAAGAGARGAATATCTTKAATGGTTTCAGGTGCATGTACGGAAGTCTTTTGTGATTAAAGCGAATTTTGAAGTTGATCACCGGACTAAAACAGTCAAAAGCCTCTACGTTAACGTTTTCTTGCACGAAATGTTATTTCTAAAGCTATTTTCAGAGAACCATCATAAATCCTTGAATGAACATGTGTGTTTTGCGTCCTTTTTNTTTTTTATCTAAAGCTCCTCAATATTGTACCATTTTTATGATTACGACTTTTAAGTTTAGGATATGAATTATTAATAAGGCAAACTTGCACGGAAACCCACGGTCGAATTGCTATTAGAATATTATTGCTTCGATTATAGAAATATTTTGTGATGAATGTTTTACTCTATTGCTGTTAGACAATTAATATCWAGATTATTTCCACTTACTGAACTAATGGTGGTACTTTCTCTGCGGATCTAGCGCGACCATTTCCGGTGAATTGCACTRTGGGATTGTCCAAAGTACAAACGGAAGTCAATTTGTAACTGAACGAAGTACGAACTGATTGGTCTTTCTTTCTGTATAAAATGGTAGTGCTGACGTCATAACCCATTTTSAACTCAGTACCAAACCTCGTGCGAGCCCGGCCAAATCGAAATAAAGGCACTATATCTTAGAGAACATTTATTAATTCGACAAAAATTGGATTCTTCCCCTACAATGAACAATGAATCGAAATAAACAATAACTATATTAAGTTTATAGCGACTACTTTTATTTTTCTTATGCCCGAACGGTTTTATTTCATCGTATTGGATCTTTCCCTTCCGTAGTATTTACATTACATCCTCAATTTTTTTTTACTGAAGCTAGACCACAATGCAGCATGATTTTGTGTCCCAGATAATGCACCTATCAATGTTAAGTTATTTTTTTTTCTTCTTTTCTTTGTCAAAAGTCCCATGCACCGTCGGAATGAAAAATTTAACCAAATCCAGTAAAAAAATCCTACCTGGGGACCTCTGTTTAATTTTCAAATGACCCAAGATGGGGCTCCTGACGATGACAAAAGTGCATTTGTTCAATTTTTCTTGAAGTTCTTGTTATCATGTAATGTCAATGACTAYATTTTGTTAACTGACTGACAACATACTGGAAAACAGATTATATAATATATATCCAGTTGATAAGCAACTACTTATTTTTATCCCGTGTTGTTGGGTGAAGATAGTATCAAACGAGATATCAAAGTTTTAATTCACAATTTACCATCTTTCATAATAATTTAAAGGGACACTGTCAATGGCACGCATGCGCGAGTAAACTTGAAAACACTAGGCTAGTGTTTTCAAGTTTATGACTCCAAGTTGGCGCGACATAAATCAAATCGCAAACGTAAACAGATCTAGAATATTCCAAAGTGTGTCAAAAGCACCACAAAATGATTTACCTCGAAGGTAATACTTTCAAAGTCCGTTAGAGGTGAGACTGTTACTGTGCATGTCATCCATTGACAACCATGGGTCAATGGTATTAACATGCAATAGTCCAAAACAAATTGCGTGTTACCAAGCATCGCAGCAATCACATTGAATCCATGATAATTC